CTGCCCAGCAAGGCAGGAATGAGAATGTTCTTGGGCCAAGTACAGATCTGCTGAGGGACACTTGTCATACCAGTCTCCCTTTGAGGGCTGTTTTGTTTTGTTTTTGAGGAATATATGTTTGTCATCAGTGATTTCTAAGGTTTTATCTTGGGGTCTAAAGGTGACATCCTTATCTATCCTGAGCCTGAGGTAAGCCTGGTGGTTTTTGTAGTTCCGTAAGGCCCAAAAGCTGCCAAGAAGTAGAATTTCCGTTGGGCCGTGGTGGCGCACACCTTTAATCCCAGCACTTGGGAGGCAAAGGCAGGAAGATCTCTATGACTTTGAGGCCAGTCTGGTTTATAGAGCGAGTTCCAGGACAGGCTCCAAAGCTACAGAGCTGTCTCGAAAAAACAAACAAAACAACAAGTAGAATTTCCAAATGCAAATGCCCAGACCTGGTCCCAAAGGGCCCATCAGTGGATCTGGAACCTGACATGTAGTTTGGTGTGGTACACAGATGTGATTTGGAGATTTGGCTGCCCATTAGAATCTCCTGGAGCAGCAGTGATATGTCTTGGCAGACAGAAGAGAAAGCCTGAGGCTGGGTTAGTAAAGTTGGAAGGAGAATTGACTCAGAAGTTGACCTCTGGTGTCCATACATGGCATCCATGTATTGTTAAAGTTAAAATCATCTGGAGCGCCGGTATGGTGGCACATGCCATTAATCCTGGTAGAGGCAGGCAGATCTGAAAGGTCAGATAATAAGGACCCTCATTCTGGGACTCTGGCAACCATCAACTCTGCCAGGGCCTCCATGTCCTCAGCTGTGGAAGGTGTTGGAATGAATGACTTTCAGAATGTGCTCAGAGCCAGGTCTACATGTCCTGTAGTTCCTCCCTGGGGAGCACTGGGCTCTGTGCTCCTGCAGCCATAGGCCTCCAGCTTTAGGCAGCCTGCTCTCAGCTGCTTCTTACTGAAGCTTCCTGGGCTGGAACAAACAAACCAAGAGCTCCAAGAGTTTGGAAACCACAGGGCTAGACAATCTGTGTGTTCTGTGCTCTCTCCAGCGCTGAAGGTCAGCAGAAACTTGACCTAATCCTTTCCATCTACACACGTGGTGCTCATGGCCTAGTGCTTTCATCTGGCACCTGTCCCCTATAAATCCTGCTTTGATTTGCCCAGCACTGGCATAGTCCCCTAAATTTGGTTTATCTCCTCTGCTAAGCTGTGAGTTCCTTGAAGGCAATTGGTTTTATGAACACGGCATGTGTTTATTGTGCTACTTTGCCTCCCCTGGTAGTGTTGGGGATGCAGTGGTGACAGACTATCCTTCCACTGTGTGCCAAACATGAGTGGACACAAATATAATGTGGAATAGTGTACACTGCACAAGGTGGGTGCCCTCAGGATGGCCCAGGAAAGATGGAGTCTGCAGAGAGGCCCCCTGGGAGGAGAAGGAGGCTGGTCTTGGATGGGGAGCTGGATGGAGGCCTAGAGAAAAGGAGGAAGCCGAGGCTGGTGAAAAGGCATCACATTTGTTCTGATGACAGGGTTTCATGTGACTGGGCTGGTCTCAAACTCACTATGTAGCTGAGCGTGATCTTTAACTTATTATCAGTGTGTGTGTGTGTGTGTGTGTGTGTGTGTGTGTGTTCATGAGTGTGTGGGTGCATGTGGTGTGTATTTGTGCAAATGTGTGTGCAAGTGCAGACACTCATGAGTACATGAAAGAGCAGATAAAATATCCTCCTTTGTCACTCTCTGCTTTATTCCCTTGAGACAAGATCTCTCGCTGAACCCACAGCTAGGCTGGCAGGCAACAAGCCCCAGGAATTCTGTTTCTGCCTCCCATGGTGCTGAGGTTATAGCCTGGCATGTGGCAACGTCCAGATTTTTGCGTGGGTGCTGGGCACTTGAACTCAGGTCCTCACATTTTTGAAGCAAGTGCTGTTACTCACTGAGCCATCTCCTTAGCCTTGACCTTGAACTTCTTCTGATCCTCCTGTTTTCACCTTCCCAGGGCACCATGGTGCCCAGTTTTTTTGGTGCTGGGGCTGGAACGTCATACATGCTAGGCAAGCACTCTACCAATTTAGCTACCTTAAGGCAGCACTTATTTTGGTTTTTGTTGCTGTTAGTTTTTTTGAGACAGATCTTTCTATGTTACTGGTTAGCCTCAAGGTTACTGTGTAGACAGGCCAGCCTTGATCTAATGATCCCAATGAAGGCAAAAGAAGTCTCTGATGACTTAATGGGGGGTGATAAGAACAAGTTTTCAGTCCCTGGAGAACTTCCTCTGCCACTTCCCCTCCCCCAGCTCTGGTGTAGACTGTTGCCTGGTGGGAACTCTACTCATCCTAGGTGACAGGTGTGTCCGGGGAGGGATGCATAGAAATGGGTGGCTGAGGAGGCTCCTTTTACATTTGGCTGTTCCTCTGAGAAGGATGGGTTGCCATAGTAGTATAACCCATCTGGTTGCTGTGGTGGGTTGACTTACTTGTTTAGAGCTTGTCCTGCACCCCACTTAGACTCTATGAACATTCGGACAGCACTTTTGTTGGATTCTTTCTATCCCTCAACCTGGGACATTTATTGAGGACCTGTTGTCACTCATCTGCTGGTTCTCAAAGGAAGTCTGTCCCTCTTTTGTTGGCTCCCTGTTTCCTGTGATAGGTTGTCTAGCTGCATGGCCTCAGGGAGACCCTTGGGTGACTCCCTAGCATGTCCCTGCCACTCCTCTTACCATCTTTCCCCCTCTGCCCTCTTTGGCCCAGTTTCTCGGCTACCTCAGTGCCTGTGAGAGGCTGCTGCGGCAGGGCTATGATGAGGCCCTGGTGGATGAGGCCATGGAGATGTTCCAGTTCTCTGAGCAACAGGTCAGCTGGGCCCAGGGAGTGGAAGCATGGGGGCCAGGGATGCAATGACCCCAGAGTAGTCTGTGGTCTGGTCAGGAGAGAAATAGCCTGCTCACACTGGGGAGAAAGTTCTCAACTGGAGAGCAGAGTACAGCCAAAGGTGGGAGACAGAGAATGAAGAGGTGGAGAGGGCAACTGGAGGCTGGTGTTGAGGGGCTTTTCTATAGGTGACCGAATCAACACATCACATATTACTGGACACCTGATGTTTTTGATACTCCCTTACAGGAGCAGCCTGGAGATGCTTGAACTCAGAGAGTTTGTGCCCTCATAGCATGCATGGAGCTAAAGGCCCTACAGAAAGAAACAAGTGCCCATGATAGCCCCTGCCTCAGTAACGAGGCAGCAATTCACAGGGCTGAGAGTTGCAGGAAGGACTGGGTAGAAAAGTGGAGAGGAAAACACAGGGGGAGTCTTCAGCAGAGGCTGAGCAGAGTAAAACCCAGAAATACCAGCACACAGGCAGCAGCACCCCTGGCTCGGCCTCTGTTTCCTCCTGGACCTGCACAGGAAGAGGAAAATGACAGGCATAGCCCAGTGTCAGGCTCCCCTGGTGAAGGGCGGGAGATACCCAGGACTGAGGCAGCCTTGCAGTGATGGAGTACCCTGTCTTCCTCCTCTTCAGGCAGGGGAGTTCCTGCACCTCTGGCAGCAGTTCAGTGACATGGGATTCCAGCAAGATCGGATCAAGGAGGTGCTGTTAGTGCACGGCAATCGGCGTGAACAAGCCCTGGAGGAGCTGGTCGCCTGTGCCCAATGACAAGCCAGGACACTCTGTGATGCATGGCTGACCAGTGAAGTACCTGATTCACCACCCATCCTAACTGCATTATTAAAATCTAAAAGAAAATCCAGGTGGTGGTGGTGGCCCACATCTTTAATCCCAGCCTTCTGGAGTCAGAGACCCATGAATCTCTGTGAGCTCAAGGCCAGACTGGTCTACAGAGCTAGTTCCAGGACAGCCAAGGCCGTTACACACTGTCTTAGTTAGGGTTTCTATTGTTATGAAGAGACACCATGACCACAGCAACTCTTATAAAGGAAAACATTTAATTGGGTGGCTTCAGTTTCAGAGGTTTAGTCCATTATTATCATACCAGGACATGGTGGCATGCAGGCAGACATGGTGCTAGAGAAGGAGCTAAGAGTGGAGAAGGAGCTACATCTTGATCCACAGGAAGTGATCTGAGACACTGAGTGTGGCTTGGGCACATATGAGACCTCAATGCCCATCCCCCACAGTGACACACTTCCTCAACAAAGCTGTACCTACTCCAACCAAGCCATATCTCCTAATAATGGTGCTCCCTATTATCTTATTGGGAGCAATTACATTTAAACTACCACACACTGAAACCCTGTCTGGAGGAGTATGGGGGACAAAAAAAAAAAAAAAAAAAAAAAAAAAAAAAAAAAAAAAAACAAAGCAAAAACTAATAAGACTAAAGCCAGGTATGGTGTCACAAACCTTTAATCCCAGCACACAAGAGGCAGAGGCAGGCGGATCTCTGTGAGTTCTAGGCCAGTCTGGTCTACAGAGTGAGTTCCAGGACAGCCAGGGATACACAGAAAGACCCTGTCTTGAAAAACCAACCAACCAAACAAACAAACAAAAAACCTAACAAGACTAACAAAGCAGGACATGTTCACCATGAAGCTTCCATGCCAAGGGTGGAAGCAGCTGCTACTTTCTAGAAGCAGCAAGTGGAGAGAAACTTTCTCAGGCAAGCCGCCTTTAGACCCAGCACTCAGGAGGCAGAGGCAGGCAGATCTCTGTGAGTTCTAGGCCAGTCTGGTCTATAGAGTGAGTTCCAGGACAGACTGAACTACATAGCAAGACCCTATCTCAAACTTAACAAAACAAAGGAATCTGACCAGGTCTACATTTTCCAGACCTGGCTCCTCTTCCATGAGAATCCTCAGGGAATCCCTGGGTCCAGCACCTTGTATCTGACTCAGAAAGCACAGATGGGTAGCCTGCTGGAATTGGGGGTTTGCTGTTGGTTGGTTAGAATTGTATTGTTTTGTTTCCTCTATGTTACCTGGTTGATCTTGAACTTGTGAGCTTGAGTGATCCTTCTGTGACCTCAGTCTCCCAGGTAGTTGTCCAACCATGTTTGATATCTGAGGCTCTCTGGAGATCTTTGCAATGCAGCAGGCCCATGACCCATGTACATGACCCTCTAGATAATCTGGGTCAGATACCAGCCTGTTATCTTTGGGGGTTGGGAAGACAGTTATCTCTAGCCACCCCAAGCTCATATTTAAGAGGTCCCCATCAATTGAGAGGACCAGCTGACTCAGGCAAGAGGTCAGAGGCCATCACACTGGTGCCCCTGCCTCTCACAGCAGCCCACCAAAGTCCTCTGACAGTTACCAGGATTCAGACCTTTCATTCTCTTTGCTCTGTAAACAAAGCTGGAGCAGAGGCTTGTGGAAAACCCAAGGAAAGTGCCCATGTCTCTCAGCCCATGCTCAGTGTTTATTGGGGACTTCTGCAACTGAAATAGCAAGCTCAGGACTGTTACCTGTTGGGGAATATTATTTTAAGGTGTGTGATTTTTGTTTATGCTGCATTTGTTTAATTATGTGAAGCTGTGATACTGTGCCTGTCTGAAATGCCTGGTGGCCCTAATAAAGAGCTGAATGGCCAATAGCAAGGCAGGAGCAAGGATAGGTGGGGCTGGCAGGCAGAGGGGATAAATAGAAGGAGACACTCAGAAGAGGAGCAGCAATGAGAGAACAAGGGGAGAAGGAGGACAGCAGGGGCCAGCCACCCAGCCACCCAGCCACCCAGCCACCCAGGCACCCAGCCACACAGCCACACAAGTCCAGAGGCAAAAAGTAGATGGGTTAATTTAAGATAACAAAAGCTGGCTAGAAACAACCTAAGCTAAGGCCAGACATTCATAAGTAATAATAAGACTCTGTGTGTGATTCATTTGTGAGCTGAGTAGCAGGACCCCTCCAAAGAGAAAAAAAAATCTTACTATAGTTGTCCAGGTCTCCTGAGGCCCACCGAGCTCCTTTGTGCTTTCTGCTAAGTCTCAGTGCTGGTAAGCTTACAAATGAGACAGTAGAAAAATTGTTACTTTACAATAAATATTGTTTAGTTTTTTATATTTCCTTCATTTATATATTGGCTTTGTAAGTTTGATTATGGTTGTTGACAGGAGCATGGGTAATTTACCAGTAGCTATGCTAAAGAAAATGTCTCTCCTTCCCTCACAGTCACCAACTGCCTATAGGATCTATAGTATAGATCCTTGTGGGGGTGGTGGGGGTGGTGGGGGTGGTACCTCGTAAGCCACACCCCCTTAACTTTTTTTTTTTTGGAGATGGAAAAATAGTTTGAAGCATGGACTCTGAAATCAGATGGGACTGTAAGTTCAGCCTTGTTGCTAACTAACCGTGTGATCTTTTGAAAGTCGCTCATCTTCCCTGTATCTCAGTTTCTCATTCATAAAAACAGACTGAAACTTTTCAACGATGTTGAGTGGGATAGTGCATAGGATGCTTGTGGCACTGTATCTACCAGCCCATCCACGTACATTTTCTCCCTTTCCTTGTTCTATAGCCACCACCCTTCTCTGCTCATTCATTTAGCAAACACCAGCTGTTATGATTTGCTTAAGTGTTCCCGCAAGGTTCACATTTAAGACGGTCCCCAGCTGACGGTGCTGGGGTGGGGATTGTGGAAGGAAGTTAACACCATGGCCTTGCAGAGGACCTGGCCCTTTCTCTCCTCTCCACTTCTCGGTCACTGTTGTGTGATCAGCTTTGCTCTATTGTGGACCCCCACCACAATGCTCTGCCTCAGCACAGGCCCCCAAACTACAGAACAGAGTGACCATCGGCTGGAACCTCAGAAACTGTGAGTCAGAAATGCCCTTGGTTTTCTCACCCATTTCCCCAGCTACAGAAAGCTAACATGGTGGCATTCTGTAACCAAACTCGGAACCTGAGCAAATCTGTCCCCCCAGGGACCCAACCTCTCTGATCAGCAGAGCTGAAGAAAGTAGCCCAAAAGAAGTTTTGTGGAAGGGTCACCTGGAAAATGGTGGCTCTAGACTGATAACTAAGGGTCAGATGACTCCTGAGATATCAGAAGATGACATACACAGGCTACCTGAACAGAGCTCTGGATAAGATGACCCCTACAGGGGGGACCAAAGGATGGGAGAGTCCAAGCTGCAGGCAAAGCCAAGCCTGACCCAAGAAGTAAATCCAGCTGTGCTTCTTGCCATCCCACTGTCCTCTTAAGTATTGTCTCCTCTTCCGGTCCCCACTAAGTCCCTGAAAGATGTATGCTAGTGAGGTGAAAAAGGAAGGCCCCTGATCTGACAGGATAGTTGTCTTGTCTTAGAAGCTATTTCAGACTGAGCTTTCAACCTCATTGTATCCTCAGGGAACTGTGCAAAGTGTCCTCTGTCTAGCTCACCCTTGGCCACTTCTTCTGATGCACTCTGGTGATTACCCTGGGCCTGCCGGACTAATCCAGAATGATCTGCCTTCTCACAGTGCCTAGCCTAATCTATCTGCAAAGACCTTTTTACATGGAAATGACAGTTCAGCCTGCCTCATGGGCTTCCCCCACATAACATGTGATTAATGTAACCATCTGGGCTTATATTATACACGGGACATTCCTATTTTAGTATGGAATGATATCGAGGCAGGTTGTCCATGAGGCCCTGAGTTCCTAGTCCCACTGGCTGATGTGCAGGTAGGTCAGGCCCTCACGGGCTCAGCTCCATCTGGAGGAGCCTTGCTGCTCTGGCTTCAGTGTGAGTCCACCTCTGCAGCTGTCACGGGAGGAGTGCTGGCCAAGGTGCTGCCATAGCCTCCTCTCAGCCTTGACCTTTCCATGCAGGGGACAGTGGAGAGAGACACACACCCTAGCTCTTGGTTGGTTGGAGTGGAGAACTCAGGAGTCCCAACTCTCTTCCTGGACCCTCCCCATCTGTCAGCTCTTTCCCTCCATATGCCCTAGGCTGAGTCTGTCCTGTGGCCCCCGTCCTCCTGTCTGCCTGCTGTTAGAGAAGCCTTTGATGGTCTCCACAGAGGGCACATGGCCCTTTGCTATGGTGGGGTCTTGGGCGCAGTGAAAGGTGTCCAAAGGAAGGGGCATATGCCAGCTCTTCAACCTTGACCACGACACCTACTATGAGGAAGAGCTGGGCTTGGGGGGCCTCGGGGAAGTCTTTCCTAATGAAGGCTAGGGAGGATCCCAGGCTTCACCCTCAGTGCAGGCGCCTCTGGGGTACTCGCCTCTCCTTCACACCCTAGGGGTCAAACCTTTGCTCTTATGTATGCTGACATCACTGGAACACAGGCAACCAGGAATCTCTAAAAGCATACTCTCTCTCTCCCAGTCCCTCTCCCCTTTCTCTCTCCCTCTCCATCTTCCTCCCACCTTAGGAAATGAAATCTTGCTATAGGCACTACCCAAAGGAAGTTGTGGGTACATGTGCTTTTACTCTAGGGCAAGGGTGATTTGCACAAGGCAGAAACTGGTGACTCTGCTCTTTTCACTGGCAGGTCCTACTCCAGATGTGGGAGTTCCTGCCTCAGCCATGAGCCAAAGCTGCCACCAAAAAAACCAGCTGATTTGGTTCTGGGGATATGGCTAGGGTGTGGATCAACTGGTTGAATGCTTGCCTGGCATGCACAAAGCCTTGGATCCAAACTCCAGCACCACATAAACCAGGAGTGGGGCTTCATCCTGAGAATTCCAGCACTAAGAAGGTAAAGGTAGAGAATCAGAAGTCTAGGGTCATTCATTCTCAGTTACATCTAGAGTTTGAGGCC